GTAGTTTATGTAAAGTTCCTGATGTTTCCTATAAACTATATTCCTATATACTTGAGAAGGAACTATAAATCTGTGTAAAGCTGAAATTTAAAATGACCTCAGGACTTTTGAGGCTCATACATGTGTTATATATGAGTTACAGCTGCAATATATAATTGCATCTCCCCCTCATGGCTGAAACATTCTGAAACTTACCATGACTTTAAGTTGTAAACAGTTTGTCTGTCAGTGTCTTTGTTGTTACAGATGCATCACTAGCATCTACTTAATTTGGTGAATTTGCTTTCTGAGGATGATGAGATAACTGAAATATATGACAATTTTGGCAACTAGATTATAATTCCTTCTAATTGTAATAAAATGCTTGGAAGTGATTATTAAATGGCTTTTTTATCATAAAAATATAATTATTTTGATGTTTTTGCTATTTGTTCAGTTTTCAAAAGCTTTTTATTAATATAAATTACCAAATATGGGTAAAAGCAGAGACTAATACAGTGAAACCCTCATGTACTCATAAGAGCGTCAAGCCTATCAACATTTTATTATATTTGTTATCTATTATTCCACTTTTTTTTTTTTAGTGTAACTGATCCCATAAGAAGTCGGTCGCATCTTGGTATGCTTTGTTTATTGTGTAGGAAAAGAGCTCCAGCTGTCCCTATTAGGCAGGTAATTCTTGGTTCAGATGGTAGAGGCCAGGAGATCCACTAGGATAACACAAAGATTAACCCTGCTGAAAAGTTATGTATGGGAAAGACAAAGGAATAAAATAGAAAAAAATATATTTAAATATTAAGACTTGGATTTGATGCCACAGATGTCCTGTAGGCTACAAGAAGTTTCCTTTCAGAGGGAATATGTAATCAAAGTGCAGTTATAGGCTTTAGAACGTAGGGAAATAAAACCTGCTTAGTCTGCAATGGATGGGTATAATGCCTCAAGGAAAAGTGTGGCATTTAGAAACCTTTCTGTTCTTAATCTGTCTCCTCCTTTGTCCCTTAACTTTCCTTGTTACTTTTCTCCCAATCTATTGTTCCTTAGATCTCTGTTCCTTATATTTCTACAGTGACCTCAAAGTTCTTGTCTAACTTCCTTGTATTTGCTACTACTATTGTACAGTTCCATACCCTGATTAATTTATAGACAATCGGCCAAGCACAGTAGCTCACACCTGTAATCTCAGCACTTTAGGAGGCCGAGGTGGACAGATCACCTGAGGTCAGGAGTTCGAGACCAGCCTGGCTAAAATAGTGAAACCTGTTTCTACTACAAATACAAAAATTACTTGGCCATGATGGCAGGTGCCAGTAATCCCAGCTACTCAGGAGGCTGAGGCAGGAGAATCACTTGAACCCAGGAGGAGGAGGTTGTAGTGAGTCAAGATCACGCCACTGCACTTCAGCCTGGGTGACAGAGCAATACACTAGCTAAAAAAATAAAAAAAAAAAAGACAAGCTATTTTAATTTTCTCTAAACCTTTCCGTGTATTTTGAGGAAATTAATAAATCCATATAATAAACAAGAAAGAGGCTTATTTATGTTTCTAAATAAGATACTTCTACAGGCTGGGCATTTTTCCACTGTAAACATGGCTTAATATGATGTTAATCCTTCCTTTTGGCATTTTGGCTGAGCATTGTTCTTCTTGTCCTTGTTTTATGAGAAGGATCTAGAAGAGTAGGGTTGGATCTCAGGTATCATCCAGATAGCATGAAAATACCACTGTCTGCAGCAACTTTCAAAACCTTGTTTTAGTACTTCTCAGCTTCCAGCTTTTATACATAGAGCAGGTCTAGCTTTTTATTGGTTCCTCACCCACAGCTTACTCTATCACAGGTATCTCTTACTGGCTTGTTTGCTTTCTTCAACCCAGTGAGAGGACAGAGCATTTAACCATTGTGGGTTTAATAACTTTGGGGGACAAATTTAATGAAATCTTTCTTATCTCTAGGGCATGTTGGCCAATACTGCTTAAACTTCTGTTTTATGATACACTTAAAACCAAAACATACTCATTATCTATTGCCAGTATTGTTAGTAATATTAATAATAATGATAGATAACTTTTATTCTCTTACTATATGTCAGACACTGTTCTAACCTCATTTGGTGCCGTAACTTGCTTAATCATTACTAGCTCCCTTAATAAAATAGGTACTACTACTAGCACAATTTGCAGATAAGAGACTGTAGGACAGAGAGGTTAAGCAGGTTGGGCAAAGTCAAACTAATTAGAAAGTGCTAGAGCCCAAATTCAAACCTAGGCAGACTGGCTTTAGAAACTGTTGTTCTAACCGTTTATTTCATATGGCTTCTAATAGACATTTTTAGTGTGTGCCTTTTGTCTTTTGAATGAAAATTATAGTAGTACACAGGCTAATACTTGCTTTACCTTTATTTCTACCAATTCTATATACTTCATGGGAATTTTAAGTAATCTAAATCTAGCAAGAGCAAATATGCATATTAAAATTATTTGATGTAGGTAATAGAACAGGTTTTATTGGAAAGGTTTTTAGCAGAGGATAAACCAGTTCACTTTGAAAACTTTTTAGCTCTTTGTGCCTGTGTTAATTTTCTCATCACTTTGTGAGCTACACTGATCTTCCTGATAACAGCTTTGGATTAGGAAATTCCTTCCACATTGGCTTTTACTTTTTCTTGACTGCATTTGTTTTATAAATCAACATAGTTCTCCATCTAAAATTCATCTAATTTTGTTAAGTTCAACAAACACTATGTGCAAAACATTTTACTAGCATCTGAGGAGGGAGAAGGCATAGTATCACCATCAAGGGACTTACTGTCTAGACCTAGCAAATGCCACGTTCCCTTCTCCTCTCTAAAGCCTCTCTAACTACCCCCATCCCAATTGAAATGAATAATTTCTTCTTTGACACTCTTCTCAGTTTGTTCAAGCACTTTTTATAATACTTATACTTTGATAGTTGTTGTATTTCTGTATCTCTGGCAAAATTATTGAGAACTTATTATTATGTTCTCTAGTCCCCGTCTTGTAAAGATGATGTGTCTGATAATGCATCTAAACACATATTCATACAACACAATTTATAAGTACTATAATTAAGGCATAAAAGTAAAAATACTATGGAAACACAAAAGAGAAAATTGTTATTGTGAAATTTAGAAAATCTTGATGGAAAAATATATGATCTGGGCATTCCTTGAAATACGTAAAGAGAAGGACAGCCTACTCCAACTAGTAGGAATGATGAAAGCAAAGACACAGGAGCCACAATAAGTGTAAGGTGTTAGAGGGATGACAAATAGTTTGTGTGGTGAAATTAGGATGCTTGGATGAGGGGTATGGTAGTCAAAGTTGATAAGATAGTTTGGAATCAGGTGGTCTTGCCAAGAAATTCAGGTTGTATTCTATAAGACATCATCATCCTACAGGAAGGATTATTAGGTAGCAGGATGGAAGATTATATTTAAGAGGAAAAAGAAATTAAATACAGAAATCAGTGAGGAAGCAAAGCTGTTGTCTCCGGCCATACCACCCTGAATGCACCCAGTCTTGTCAATCTTGGAAGTTAATCGGTGTCGGGTCTGATTAGTCCTTGGGTGGGAGAAAGCAAAGCCATCTTATTGTACTTATCAAGGCTTGAGTAACACAGGTATGAACTAATGCAACAGCAGCGGAAATATAAAAGAAGGGATCAATATTCGAAATATTTCTAAGGAATATCCAAGGAGAAGTACTTGGTAAATAACTGAGTGTGAGAGAATTGTGAAATAGGAAAGCCAAACATAGTACCAAAATTCTGAGCCTTATTGACCACTAGCTCAGAACTCTTACACTAACTTTTTCCACTAACACAGAACTCTTATGCAATCTTTTACAGAGTTTCTAGGTATATTGTCATCTTTCTAAACATCCTTTAAGTCAAATAGTGCAAATGTTTTAAAAATTTCTCATTTCTTATGGATGAGGAAACTGAATTACATAGTCATGACTTGCTCAAATTCATGTTGTTATTAAGTGGCAGCACTAGGATTCAAACTCAGTTGTTTTACTTTCAGTTGGTTTTGCTGTGCTGAGTTTGAGGTGCTATCAGAATGTGAAAATGTCTAGTAGATTTTAGCACTTTATATGGAAGTAGATGAGACTTCCAAAAAAAAAAAAAAAAGAAAAAGAAATTATAAATAAAGAAGAGAGTAAATCATGGATTGGATTTTTGAAACTGCATGGATTTAGGGGATTAGTTGGATAAGAAGAGCCAAGGAAGAAGACTGGAAAACAACAAACAAAGAAATAAGAGAATCTGGAGTGTAAAATGTTACTAGAATGTGAGAGCAAATATGAGAATGAAGAAACTGACTAAAGAAAAGTACTGTGTGTTATGAAGAGAGAAAAGATGAATAAGGAAAAGTCATTTAATTTGACAAGTAGGAGATTATTAAAAGCTTTTCAGGAGAGATTTTGGGATAAGGCAGAGGGCCAGATTACACTGGATTGAAGAAAGGTATGTGAGCTAAAAAAAAGACAAGGCAATGAGTTTGGAGTACTCTTAGGAAATTTGTTTAAGAAAATTATAAGTTGTGGCAATACCAAAATAAAGCCTTAGAAACATTTTTTTAAGAAACCAAAACTTAACATAACTTTTCCCTTCTTTCCCTTCTTCTTTGATAAGTTTATCGTCTTAAGGATAACAGATGGGTATATCTTACGCCTTTCCCCCCATCATTACCCTGAGTAGAACTCCATAGTGATCTAGAGTATGTGATCTGTCACTTATCCCTACATCTTTGCTAATACCTCATGCAAAGCTGAGCTCAAGGAGCCCTAGGATGTCAACAAAGTCAAATACAGCATTATTTGCATTTCAGACAACATCAAAGAGTTTTAAATGGAAACATCATTGTTTAAAAAATACATATTTTTGGCTTCATTACTTTGTAAAAACTTAATTAAAAAAATTTAATGTAATATATTTGCATTATACCTTTGTGTTTCTGCTTATTTTTATTTAAAGGATGGAATGGCCGTATGCATGTTCATGCAAAACACCTTAACAAGATTTATGAGGTAATGCATCCTTCTTTTTAAAACACGATTTCTAAAAGACCAAAAATAGCTTTTTACTATTCCATTATTTGTACTAGTTAAGAAATAATAGCTAATTTTTAAATTACATCTATTCTAATGATGTCCTATTTTTTGTGCTATAGAGGATAATCATTTAATTACATATAAGGATAATCATTTAATGAGGTATATACATATATATTTTAAAAATAAAAGAAATGAAAGATAAGAAGAATTTAAGACATATCCCCTAAAGAGCTCATATAACTAGCTGTATTTAGGAGTAGATATTAGGAAAGTTAAATACTGGTGTTAGAGCAGAATAATAAAGACACTGATCTATATGTGACACATATAGGTTACCTAACATTCCAAATTAGTAGAATGTGTAGTGAAGTGGTCTGTATCCAGAGATGAGAGAAAGAACTATGGATTGGAAAGTTTTTACAGCTTTCTGAGGAAGATGAATTGACTTTGTACCTAGGTAAAGAAGCAAAGAGGAAAAATTCTTGTTGGCCTGTCAAGGTATGTTTGAGGTTACAAACTGTGACATGTTTTGGCTGATTAGTTTCCTACTTTCACATTCCAAATGTAGACAAATTTAAAATTAAGAAAACTAAGGAAATTCTTATTTAAGCAAGGTTATTAATTGTGCACTGCTGTATTTTTGGTACTCATTGTATCTGAGAGTCTAGAGGGAGTAATAGAATCATAACATTACTATTCTAAAATAGTATCTTCATTTTCTTAACCCCTGTTCACCTCCCTTTTCCTATTGCATTTGACTTTTTCTTACATAAATCTGAAAAGTTACTATTTTTTAAAAATAATTCTTTCTACATGGGAGCGGTGTATATTAGGAAATTTTCAATTAGTTTAGACCTGCACCTTTGCATTGTAGGTTAGAACCTACAAAAATTCCATACTTGCAAAACTTTTTAGATTTACCTTGTATTCACACACCCCTGCAAAGTGGGTCTTTGCAAACAGGAAAGGTAAAAGATTTATTTTTACCGCAAAATCATGCCTTTATATAGGATTAGTATGTGGATTATTTCAGGCAGCAATGAGTTGATTTTTGAAGGAACCTTCATAACACAGTTTTGGAGCTCTATCTTCTGTAACACATTTCGAACCTTTGGATATAGCCTTGATTTTCCAACTTTTAACCTGATACCAATAAAAATGGACAAAGATGATATCACATGGAATTATTCTGAAGAACCACTGCTGCTGATAAGTTCCAGGAGCTATAAATTAGACAAAAGCATCCATTTATTTGGGAGTAAGTTACAATATGGCTATAGCCTAAAAATATGTAATGATTCAAGGAGGTATTTTGATGAACTTACATGGCATTTATTGTGAACTACTGTATCTTTAGTATTACACTGTTTTTCTTCTCATGATGTAAAGGTTCAAGCTTCTGCTATCCTTTGATGTGTGTTTGTTTTTATGAAGACTGCAATATTTTGTTTCCACTGCATTTTAAGATTTTTTAAAAATAACATTTGTAAGTGAATATTGAAATTAAAAATTGTAACATCAGTTTTTTCTTCAATATACAGACTTCCTTTAATAAGTGTTGCGCTGGTTCAAGGTTGGGCATTGGGTGGAGGAGCAGAATTTACTACAGCGTGTGATTTCAGGTAGGATGAAAATTGCATTAATTTCTTGCACAAATATAATTAACTTGCTCAAATTCATTTTTGTCTTAATATCAATATTTCATATATTCTTAAATAGGATAAACCTATTTTCTTTTTTGAATATTTTCTTTTTGTCAGTCATTAGATAATTTTTATCTAATATAACTTCATGATCACTTCATTATTATGCATTTTCAAAAAATTAACAAAACACAAGGTTTTAAGATTTTGAATAGAGCAAATCCATATTAGCAAAACTCCTGGAAGGAAAGCTAAGGAAATATATGAAACTTTAAAATCCAAAAGAATTATACAAACAAAGTAAGCAACGTTAAAAAAGAAAAATAGAATGCAGAAAGAGAGACTGCTGTAGCTGTTTTCTCACCAATAAAAAGAGATTTTCTGAGATCCCTTTGTCTTCTTTCTGCTGTGATTTATAGCAACTTTGTGGGACTTTTGGGAAGATTAGGGAGTAAAGATAGAGAAAGTTCTTTGGGACCAATAGCTCTTCAGTCCCTATAATTATTTTCAGTATTTGATAGCTATATTATATAGAAATGACATTTTGTAAAATCTAATGCTTTAGACATCTAAACTGCTTTCTCAGTACCATTCCCAAGGCCTACTAACACAGCTAGCTATAAAGGGACCAGTACACTGCTCCATAAGTTATCTGTACAGGCTCACACACTGGAGCCTCTTTATAATGCAAAAGGTAGTATATATAGCATAATTAGAGGTAAACTGGCAAAACAGTAAAGAGCCTGAGCACTGATGTCAGGTGGACCTAGGCTGAATCCCAGTTTGCCACTTTTACCTATTTGACTTTGAACAAGTATTTTACCTCTCTTCATCTCAGTTTCTTTATCTATAAAATGAAGTATCTCCCTTAAATATCTATAAATTTAAATAAGATAGTGAATATATAGGTTTTAGCATAATGTTTAACCTAAAGTGTATGTAAGTATTCACATAATATTCTGGCTTAGAGTTTTAAGATTACCTTATACAACTGTCTCTTACCAATGCCAATATGGTAACATTCTGGCATACTTTGAAACTCATTGTCTTTTCATTTGGAATGTTTTTCAGTCTTTGGGCTAACCCTGGCCTTGCCATTTTTTAAAAAAATCATTATACGCTTGACCCTAGCTAAGAAAAATATTGGAGTATACATTAAGAGAAGACTTCTAGTAAACTTTTTGTCTCACTTTCAGACACTGAAGAGAAAGTCGTTCTGCGCTGGCATGTAATGCTCTAGATATTTCAAAACATCATGTTGTACATTTAAAACATTTTTAGGCCTGGCATGGTGGCTCATGCCTGTAATCCCAGCATTTTGGGAGGCTGAAACGGGTGGATCACCTGAGGTCAGGAGTTCGAGACCAGCCTGGCCAACATGGTGAAACCCTGTCTCTACTAAAAATACAAAAAATTAGCCAGGTGTGGTGGCACATGCCTGTCTGTAGTCCCACAACCTGGGAGGCTGAGGCGGAAGGATTGCTTGAACCTGGGAGGTGGAGGTTGCACCGAGCCAAGATCACACCGTTGCACTCCAGCCTGGGCAACAGAGTGAGACTCTGTCTCAAAAAAAAATAAAAAATTAAATAAAAAATTAAATTTGTTGAGCTACAAATTACATACAATAAAATGAATCCATTTTAATTGTATGGTGTAAATGGATTTTGATGCATATATGCATCCATGTAACCACCTCCACAATCAAGATTGAGAACATTTTTATCACCCCTATCTGTATGTCTTCGTATACCTCTTCCCAGTCAGTTCCCACCAAGGTAAACACTGATCACTTTCTCATTTTAAAATAGATTTTTAAAAAAGAATTTTACATAAATACATTTCATAGAGTATGTACTTTTTAATGTCTGCCTTCTTTAATTCAGTATAATTACTTTGAGAGTCATCCATGTTGTACCATTTATGAATACTTTGTTCCTTTTTAATGTTGGAAAGTATTTTATTATGTGGATATTAAAGTTTGTTTCTGAGATTTATCTGTTTTTGCATTTTTCAGTGGTTTGTTCATCTTATTGCTTAGTAGTATTGCTTTCTATGCCTATGTAGCACAGTAAGTGTCATACATTAATGGACACATGAGCTATTTCTGGTTTTGGCCTATTATAAATAAAGCTGTTGTGAACATTCATGTATAAGTATTTGTGTGGGCATATGTTGCCATATCTTTTGGGTGAAAATCTAAGAGTGGAATTGCTGGGGTGATATGGTAAGTGTAAGTGTATGTTAACTTAAGCAGCAAATATATTGATTTCTTATATTTTCTAGGTTGGTTGTATAATTTTTATTCTCATAAGCAGTGGAAGAAAGTTCCAGCTGCACCTGTCAAGCTGTTTAGATTTAGCCGTTTGATGGGTGGGAACCATTGTGAGAGCTCATTGTGATTTCAGATTTGAATTTCCACAGTGACTGGTGTTGAGGATCTTGTGTTTATTGGCCATTAGATATATCTTCTTCTTTGTTGCTTCAAATCCTTTGACTCTTTAAAAAAAATTGATTTGTCTTATTATTATTGAACTGTAGGAGTTTTTTATATATTCTGTATAAAATTCCTTGGGATAGCAATAATTATAGTAGCAGAGGTGAAGTATGCTCATGTGTCTATGTCTATCTCGACTGTAATACTAAATACTATCCACAGCCTTAGGAGCAAGAATACTTTCTCACAGCCTGTGAGTTGTTTTTTTATTAGTAGTATCTTTGGAAGAGCAGAAATTTGAATTTTTAAAATACTTTCAACTTCTCATTTGCTCTAACTATACACTTATTACAAACTTGCAGAAATCATACATGTAACTCCCACATAACTTTCAATCAGTTTCCCCAAATGTTAGTATCATATGTAGCCACAGTGCAATTATGGGAAATTAACATTGATTCAATACTTGTAATTAATCTACAGACCTCATTCAGTTTTTTTCAGTTATCATACTAATTTTTTTTTTTTTTTCTGGCCCAGGATTCAGTCAAGGTCTGTTTTTTCGGATATGAATATAGCCATCCCAATTTTCTCCAATTTTCTTTCTTTTTTCTTTTTCTTGTTCTTTTTTTTTTTTTTTGAGACAGAGTCTCTGTTGCCCAGGCTGGAGTGCAATGGCATGATCTCAGCTCACTACAACCTCCACCTCCTGGGTTCAAGCAATTCTCCTGCCTGAGCCTCCTGAGTAGCTGCAATTACAGGTGCCTGCCACCACTCCTGGTTAATTTTTGTACTTTTAGTAGAGATGGGGTTTCACCATGTTGGCCAGGCTGGTCTCGAACTCCTGACCTCATGATCCAGGGCCCACCTCTGCCTCCCAAACTGCTGGGATTACAAGCGTGAGCCACCATGCCTGGCTCCCAGTTTTCTTATGGTTAAGATTTCTGTGGTGTATCTTCTTCTGTCCTTTCATCTTTAACTTGGCTGCCTTGTTCAAAGTAGATTCTAGTAGACAACATATACTACGGTTTTGCTTTTTAATTCAGAATGACAATTTCTGCCTTTTAATTGGAGTGTTTGTTCCATATATATAGCCAATGTTGTATTGATATAACTGGGTTTAAATCTGCCATCTTGGTACAGGCATAACTCTGAGATATTACAGGTTTGGTTTCCTCCAGACCACCCCTATAAAGTTAATATCACAATAAAGTGAGTCACACGAATTTTTTTGTTTCCTAGTGTGTATAAAAGTTATGTGTACACTATACTATAGTCTGTTAAATATGCAATAGCATTATATTTGAAAAAAACAATGCGTCTATCTTAATTAATAGGTAATTTATTGCTGAGAAATGCTACCAAGCATCTGAGCCTTCACCGAGATGTCATCTGGTGGGGAATCTTGCCTCAATTTTGATGGCTGCTAACTGATCAGAGTGGTGCTTCCTGATGATTGAGGTGGATGTGGCAATTTCTTAAACTAAGACAACAATGAAGTTTGTTGACCGATTGACTCTTCTTTCACAAAAGATTTCTGTGTAGCATGCAGTGCTGTTTGATAGCATTTTACCCACAGTAGAACTTCTTTCTGCCATTGATTTTTCAAATATAAATTTATGTAATATTCTAAATCCTTGTTGTCATTTCAACAATGTTCACAGCATCTGCACCAAAAATAGATTCCATCTCAAGAAACCACATATTTTGTTCATCCATAAGAAGCCACTCCTCATCTATTCATGTTTTATCATGAGATTGCAGCAATTTGGTTACATCTTCAGGCTCTATCTTGCTACTTCCATCACATCTGCAGTTATTTCCTCCACTGAAGTCTTGAACTCCTTAAATCTTCATGAGGGTCGAAAGCCAACCATGAGGGTTGAAAACAATTTTTTTTTTTTTTAATTTTTAACATAGTAGATGTATGTATTTATGGAGTACATGAGATGTTTTGCTACAGACATGCAATATGTAATAATCACATTATGGAAAATGGGGTTTCTATCCCCTCAAGCATTTATCCTTTGTGTTACAGATAATCCAGTTATACTCTTTTAGTGATTTTTAAATGTATAATTAAGTTATTATTATAGTATTGACTATAGTCACCCTGTTCTGTCAAATAGACCTTATTCATTCTTTCTATTTTTTTTGTACCCATTAACCATCCCCATCTCCCTGCCAACTCCACACTACCTTTCCCAGACTCTGGTGATTATCTTTTTATTCTCTATCTTTATGAATTCAATTGTTGATATGGTTTGGTTCTGTGTCCCCACCCAAATCTCATGTTGAATTGTAATCCTCAGTTTTGGAGGAGGGGTCTGGTGGGAGGTGATTGAATCATGGGGACAGACTTCCCCCTTGCTGTTCTCATGATAAGTGAGTAAGTTCTCACAAGATCTGGTGGTTTAAAAGTGTGTAGCACTTCTTTCGCTCTTTCTCTCCTGCTCTGTCATGTGAAGATATGCCTGCTTCCGCTTCGTCTTCTGCTATGATTGTAAGTTTTCGGAGGCCTCCCCAGCCATGCTTCCCATACAGT